CTAAGAATCAATTTATTAATACTAGAAAAATATATTTATTAATTTTTGGAATGTACACAGCTACAATCAGATATTCAATCCAAAGAAAAATTTGATCACATCTCTTTAATAGACTTTTTAAAAATTAATTTTATTGGTACATTTAAGGTACATTTTGAGATTCCTCAAAAAACTAAAACTAGGAATTTCATTTGACTTAGCTATTCTCCTTCTAGGTATCTTCCTAAAAGAGTTCAAGACATCATATTAGAGTGATACATGCAACCCCATTTTTATAGCATCACAATTCACAATAGCTACATCTTGGAAGCAGCCTCTATAGTGGACCCTCGAGTTACAACTGGCCTCACATATGAACAATTTGGGTTATGACTAGAATTTTAGTTTTAACTTATGACCAAAGTCTTGAGTTACTACCATAATGCCAGCGCCTTGTGTGGTTGTAAACAAAGACTCGCGATGCCAGAAGTGTGTATGTAAGCATACGTAAGCGTCAGTTCTGAGCCCAGATGCGCTTGTTTGTGATGTGATTGCAGTCAGTGCTTTATTTAGTTGCAACTGTTACTTTTATCAAAATGGCCCCAAAAGAGCTAGAAAAGAAGCTAAAGAAGGATGGGAAGATAAAGAAAGCAGTCACAATAAAAAAAGGAAATTGTGGAGAAATATGAGTGGGATTCATGTGACTGATCTCGCTAATATATACAGCATGTCGAAATCTACCATCTTGACAATCTTACAAAGATTTGTATAAGGAAGGTAGTGCTGGTAAAGATGTTACTCAAATTAGTAAGACATTGTCAACAGTGTTAGATGAGCTAGAAAGGCTATTAGTGTGGATAAATAAAAGACAGATGGCAAGTTATAGCCTAAGTCTATAATTTATTTAAAAAGCTAGGGCTATAAATGCAGATCTCGTAAAGGATAATTTAATCAACGAGTGATAGTGGTGAAACATTTCATGCCAGTATGGGGTGGTTTCACAATTTTAAAGCAAGAACTGGGGTTCATAGCATAACTAGGCATGGTGAAGCAGCCAGTGCTGTTAAAAGGGCTGCTGAAAATTACATATACCACTTGGAAATGATTACACAGAGAAATAGCTTTTGGTTTCATCAAGTTTTCAACTGTAATAAAACCGGTCTTTTCTGGAAGAAACTGTCCAGGAGAACATACATTACCCTGGAAGAGAAGAAAATGCCAGGCCACAAGCCTATGAAGGATAGGCTAACCTTATTGCTCTGTGCCAATGGGACTGGCGACCTCAAGATAAAACCTGTCTTGGTTTATCACTCTGAGACCCCTAGAGTGTTCAAAAAACATAAAGTCATGAAGAATAGGCTAGGGTTCATGTGGCGCTCTAACACAAAAGCCTGGGTAAGAAGTTTTTTTTCTTGAATGGATTAGGGAGGCTTTCTGTCCTGTTAAGAAATAGCTAGAGGACAAAGGTTTACCACTCAAGGCTCTCCTCATTTTGGATAATGCTCCTGCTCACCCATGAGATTTGGAAGAATTGGCTAAAGAATTCCCATGGGTCTGTCACTTCCCCCACCTAATACAACTCTTCTATGGCAGCCTATGGAACAGTAAGTTATAGCTAACTTTAAGAAGCTACACACCAAGGAGCTGTTCCTGAGGTGCTTCCAGATGGTCTCAGATACAGATTTACCCC